GTTAATTATTACATTGAATATAGAATTTAAACTTCAAAAACAAAATGTTACAAAAAAACCAAAAATATATGTACTATATTTAACATTTTTTAAAAGTTTAGGGGGCACACATCATAGCTAGAAAGAATTCCGTCAGTCACGAAATGTTTGTTAAGTAGACTATTTTGAAACAAAATTGATAGTTTATAGATCATTTTGAAAGAAAAAATTGTTTTTAGATTAAACTGAAATAAATTACATAGTTAATAGATTATTTATTGAATTTAGCCTATAAAATATATATATTAAGGTTTTAATAAATATGGATGTGTATGATTTTTAGTTTTTAATTTTAGTTTTTATAAATTTTATAATTATTGAAAATTAAAATTAAAAATTCAAAGTTAACATTTTATTTTAAATGAATTTTAACAATGATGTTCATTTCTCAATTGAATCAAGCAACAACCCTCTCTTTTTCTCATTGAATATATAGTAGCTCAAAAACCCTCAACAGATGCGAAGCCAAATGTATGGCAATGCCAAGTATCTCCTTGGTGACCCTCAACAAATCTACCAAATCAATTAAGCACCTTGGGCATTCCAAATTAAAGAACGTCAATAAATTGTATTTTACTCTCCATATGCATCCTCCTTCTTTTTATCTTGTTTTGATAGATTTTTGAGGGAACGTAGTATTGGAAATCTAGATCAACAAGGAATCTATGTTGAAGAAGCATTAACCTGCTACTTCTGGTGGAAATTTTTGGACCTTAAATTCTTCATAAAAAAATGTCAATCAAGAATACATTTATCCTTAATTTTTTATATATTCAAGAATAGAAAATAAAAAGTCATGAGTCCTAATGTTCAATCCCATCGGCAACTTAATTGATGAATGAGACTCAGTTGGAACTCACATTATCTGCAATGCAACCCCATCGTGATTTTTCATTTCCTCCGTCCAAGAATATATTCTTTCTGAATATATATGACCGGCCAAATAGAAATTTCAACTGTAATTACATAAGTGAGCATGGAGTGCTGCAGGGAACATCGGCTACATGGACAATAGCAATTGGCTCGCAAACTGAGCAAGTGGGGTGCATTTTGGGCGGATTCTCGCCGTCAGTATCCTTTTGAGACTTCTCATCGGATTCTTTAGAAGGGGATGGAGGAGGCCCAATGCTATCCACCTCAGCGTATTTCGCTGCTTTTCTGGTACAAACTATGATTTCGAATGGGTCCGCATTACCCGTTACCATCACTGTTCCCTTAGCAACATCCGTTTCAATTTTATCAATGCCTACAATGTCAATTAATTCCAAACTCATATGTTAAAATCTATAATTCTTCTTGCATAGATTAATTGTAAGAAAAACAATAAATCTAAATGCATGCAGATTTGTCAGTCGTGTTTCGTTTACCTTGAATGGAAGTGATTGCTTTGAGGATCTTCTTTTTGCATTTGCAGCAGGAGATATTGACTTTCAAGACAGTCCTCAGAGGCTGAATAGTTCGAACCATCGAATAATAATGGAAGATGCTAATCTAAAACTACTCCTAGCTAAAACGCATGAATCAAACACCAAAAACAACTTCGGCCGGGTCTTGCTAAGCTTCGTATTGATATTTAAGCTCGCTTGTCTCCCCTTACTTCTTGTTTGATTGATTATTAAATTTTCTTATAATGTCACAAATGCTTTTTAATATATCTAATAATAAGTTATATGATAGATTATATTCTTTTTTTCGTCTAAATTCCTTCACATTCATCTGTGTTTTGGATTTTTTTGGGGTTAGTTTTAAATATGACCTTGAGTTGTCTTTCTCACCATGTACTACTAATTTGGACATACTTATTGGTCTGCTTTTACATGGAATCCGACTATGCATCTTTTAGATGACATAAGGAAGTCACACAAATGATTGATATCAATATCTTTTAATTGTTTTGTTTAATGTATGAAGTTAGTAACTCTACCAATGAAAGGGAGAGCACATTACCTCACTTGTTTGATTTTAGTGTGGGTTTGGTATTTGCTAATCTCTAAGAATCATATTGTAATGTCAACTAGGCATATAAAAAAGGGTCTCACGCACTCATTAGGGGGGTGGTTTAATTTGGGTTTGGTTTGCAGGAACCTTTAATTAAGAGTCATATATCATCATCATCAAGGAGGCATGGAGATCGTCACCCAAAAAGAAAAAATTTTAGGCATATCTAGTTTAGTTAGGACGGTAAAAAATTATATTAATAATTAATTTTAATAAAAAAAAAATGTAGCCATAATCAATTGGGAATGTAGAAACTCAGCCTGGATTGGTAAATATTAATTTTTGGTAATCAATTAAATCACTAAATTTTTTTATATTTATAAAATTTCTATGATATGGAACCGTAAAAAAAATATCAATATGAGATTAAAAAAGAAAATATCTTAATAAATGAAAGATACATAAGAATTTATTGATACTGACAATATTTTTGTACTTTTCTCTATTTAGATTGATAATTTCTTTTAATAAACAAAGAACCTTAAAATATCAACCTATTTATTTATTTAAGTACTTGAAGTTTTATTTTTAATGCAGGCCCTACAAACTTTCGTTAGGAGCTCCATATGAGAAAAGAGTAAAATAACAAAATACCATCGTGTATTTATTGAAATTACCATAAAAGAT